AGATGGTTGTCCTGTTGGAGAATGAAGTGGAACTGATGTGGTATTACTTGCTATGATCAATGGTTGTCAATGCCATAGACCTTTCTCAGCCACAGTGGAGTTATTGATACTGTTAATGGGATATAAGGTCCAGTAACATATATAAACATTAAAAGCCTTTGCTTCTGATATTGGAAGAATATGGAATGGATAATCATATGTTTACAGTTTGATAAAATGCTATGCGTTTATTATCTTAAAAAACAGTATCTGACTTATGATTCGAAAGACAGTCAAAGAAATTATCCAGAATATAAATAGTGTTAGTGAGAACACAGTGAATGGTTATAATGGTTACATAATAGTTATAATCTATGTATCAGCAAAGAGGGAAGAAATTAGCTGCTTGTTCTTTACTCCTAAAGATACTGATTGTGATAAGTGTTATAGAGAAAACATGATTTAGACATTTTTTGAATAACTTATATCCAGAAAGTGTAAAACTGATAATTTTGTGTGATGTAGAATTCAGCATTTGTTGATCCTTTGAACGAAACTTGCTCATAGATTGTATTGTCTGCGATGGAATGCAATACATTATCTTTCTTGTTAGTCAGTTAGATTTAAAATTATAATAAAATAACACTTTTTCAATAAGGTCTATCAAAAATAGAAGAGTGACTTAAAAATTCGTAGAATTTTGATACCCTGTTTAGTAAAAGTAAAGCAAAGAATTTGGTAAATATTATTTTCACTGATTGTATGGTTTGTTCATATTCATTATGATTAGACTAGTAAATCTTTTCATGACCTGTTCTTGGAAAGTGACATGATAAGAAGTAAAACATTTCTGTAAAACACTTCCTTATTTTCGATCAAAAGCCCAGCAAAGGTGGTGTACTTTTATTCAATTTGTGGAGATAATCACCTTCTTTAAATAAATAAATCTGCCAGACAATAAAGATTGTATTATCAGGATCATAATAAGAAACAATAGTGAATATCATCACCATCATCTTCATGGTTTTTATGATAATGCTTATTATTGTTATTTATTGTTGTATATTCACCACACCAATGTTATCTTTTATTTCACTGAATATATATTTTGTTCATATATTGTAATCGTTATTTATTTAATTATTTATTTTTTGTGATTATTTTGGTGATCAATATTGTTGTTATTAATGTATTGATATGATTATGATTATTATGATTGTTATAGTTATTGTTATTATTATTATTGTTATTGTTATCATTATTATTATAATAATTACAATTGTTATAGTTATGGTTATTATTATTGTTATCATTATTATTATAGTTATTGTTACTATAAACATTATTATTCCAACAATTGTGATAGTTCTAGTTATTGCTATTTGATTTGTTATTATTATTATTGTTATTATTATTATTGTTATTATTACTATTATTATTATCATCATTATTATTATTTTTACAGTTGATTTTGTTATTATATTTATTATTATTATTATTATTATTATTATTATTATTATTATTATTATTATTACTATTATTATTATTATTATTATTATTATTATTATTATTATTATTATTATTATTATCATATTATTTTTAATATTTACTATTACTATTTACTGCTATTATTATTATTTGTTTTAACTTGATTTTTGTTTTATTTTTATTATAATGATGATGATGGTCATGATCATGATTATTGTCAGTATTAGTATTAGTATTATCGTTATATTTATTATTATTACATAGACTATATTTATTATTATCATTATTGCTATTATTATTGTTACTATTATTATTATTATTATTATTATTATTATTATTATTATTATTATTAATGTTATTGTTAACATTATTTTGATTATTATTGTTGTTATTACAACTGTTATTATTATCACTATGGTGATGATGATGATGATTATTGTTATTAGAATATTATTATTTTGTTTATTGTTATTGTTATTGTTTTTATTATTATTGTTATTATTATTGTTATTATTATTATTATTATTATTATTATTATTATTATTATTATTATTGTTATTATTATTGATATTATTATTATTAATAATATTATTGTTGTGGTTGTTGTTGTTATTATTATTGTTCTTGTTATTTTTATTATTAATATTATTATTATTAATATTATTGTAATTGTTTACATATTGTTATTACCTTCATTGTTAATATTATTATTATTCTGTTTTATTATTATTATTATTATTATATTTTATTATTATTATTATTCTGTCATTAATATTATAGTTGTTATTAATATTATTATTATATTCATCATCATCATCATCATCATCATCATCATCATCATCATCATCATCATCATCATCATCATCATCATCATGACTTTGCTAGTGTTTAATCACAAAGGAGTCAATTAGTAGACCTTGTGATCTGACCTGATTTCACCTTTTCTTGAATTGGCGGGAAAATGTATTTTTTATTTTCATTATAAACATTATAATTACTATAATGTTATAAACATTAATAACAAAGAAAGATATTTTTGTAAATCAAAGAAAAGGGTAAACGGGCGAGACAGGCAGTACTCGTAATTGATTATTTAGTACAAGTGTAGTTATCTATGTGTAAAAACAAACAAATAATCTCACAGTGGGCATGGCATACACAGACATGTCATGCCTGTCAGCATTGGGTTAATATTGATAAATATAATTGTTATGATTATTATTATTATTATTATTATTATTATCATTATTATTTTTATTTTGTATTATTATCATTATTATTATTATTATTATTATTATTATTATTATTATTATTATTATTATTATGATTATTATGCTTAAGATTGTTATTATATATTATTTTCTATATTATTATAGTTACTATTATTATTATTATTATACTTATTATTATTATAAGGATTATTATTATTATTATTGCTATTCTTATTGTCATTGGCATTGATATTGTTATGGTTATCATCATCATCATCATCATTATTATTAGTATTGAAGATGATAAAGATGATAATGATAATAATGATATTGAATAATCGTAATGATAATGAATATTGATAATGATAATGAATATTGATAATGATAATAATATTATTATTATTGTTATTATTATATTTATTTTTATTATTATTATTATTATTATTATTATTATTATTATTAATGTTATTATTATTATTATTATTATTATTGTTATTATTATTATTATTATTATTGATTTTGTTATTATTATTATTATTATTATTATTATTATTATTATTATTATTATTATTATTGTTATTGTTATTATTGTTCTTCTTTTTATTATTGATGATGACATTATTAATGATAATAATGATAATGATAATAGCTCATAATTATGAAAATGGTAATGATAATGACAATAATAATAATAATAATAATAATTTTAATAATAATAATAATAATAATGATGATGATAATAATAATACAATGAAAGTGATAATAGTAGTAATATTGATAATAGTAACACTATTTATAATTATGATTATAATATTACCAATATTAATAATGATAATGATAATGATGATGATAATGATAATGATAATAATAATGATAATAATAATAATAATAATGGTAATTATAATTGTACTTATAATTATAATCATAATTACAATAATGATAATGATGAAATAATAATAATAATGACAATGATGATAATGTTGATGATGATGTTGATAGTAATCATTATAATAATAATAGCAGTTTAAATAATAATAATAATAGTAATGGTAATGATAATAGTAATAGATAGGAAATAATAAAAGCAATAGTAGTAATAATAGTAATAATATTAATGATAATAATAATGATAATATAATAATGATAGTAATAATGATAATATAATAATGATAATATAATAATGATAATAATAATGATAATATAATAATGATAATAATAATGATAATATAATAATGATCATAATGAAAATAACAGGAATAGTAATAATCATAATCAAATTAGTTGATCATCATCGTTATTATTTATTTATTCTTATTTTTTATTATTATTAACCCCTTGCCGACAGGCATGCCATGCCCATTGTGAGTTTACTTGTTTAATTGTTTTTACACATAGATGGCTACACTTGTACTAAGTCACCAATGAGCCAGTTACGAGTAGCATCTGTCTCGCCCGTTCATCATTTACTTTTATTTATGAAAATGTTTTACGTTATCTTATTTTCCTGTTACAAATGTTTATGATAAAAATAACACCATCTATATTTATAGCACAAGTTAAAAATAAGTTTTTGGGCCAATTCAAGGAAAGGTGAAATCCTATATGGCTAAGCACTAGCAGAGCCATCTAGTAACAAGGATATTTCACAAAAATATGAGAAATGAGCACAGAATTTCCCCCATTTTTTATTCATTTTCCCCGTCGGGAAAGGGTTAATATCATTATTATTGTTTTTGTTTTATTATTGTTATTTTTATTGTTAATGTTAATATTATTATTATTATTATTATTATTATTATTATTATTATTATTATTATTGTTATTATTATTATTATTATTATTATTATTATTATTATTATGATTATTATTATTATTATTATTATTATTATTATTATTATTATTGTTATTATTATTATTGTTATTGTTATTATTCCTATTATTATTATTATTTTTTTATCATCATCATCATCATTATCATTATCATTATTATTATTATTAATGATATTGTGATTATCACTGTCATTGCTATTATTTTTACTACTATTATTGTTATTATTATTATTGTTGTTCTTCTTCTTATTGTTATTGTTCTTATCATATTTACCGTCATCATTATTATTATTATTATATATATTGTTGTCTTTATTATTATATATATTATTGTCTTTATTATTATAATCATTGTTATTCTTATTTATATCAGTAGTGTTATTGTTGATATTATTATTACTCTTACTATTACAGTTACTTTTTATTGCTATTATTACTATTACTATTGCTATCACTAATTATTATTTTATCTTTATTATTATATTTATTAGCTTTATTTATTATTTTTTTATTATTACTTTATTAGTGTTTTTTTTTATATCATAATTATTTTTTGTTAATATTAGTATTATTTCTTCCATAGTTTTACAGTTGTTAGCATTGAAATTATTGTTAAGGATTTTCTTACTGTTATTGACTTTGATTTTGTTATATTTATGTTGTTCTTGTTTTCATTATTTTTGGTTATTATAAATATTTACATTATTGATCGTCAGTGTAGTTTTTATCATCATCATCATCATTATTATTATTATTATTGTTATTGTTTTTCTCATTTTTGTTTTTATTATGATTATTGTGATGAAGTTGTTGATTATTATTGTCGTTATTGTTATTGTTGTTATTTTTATTGTTATTATGATGATGATGACTATTATTGATGATGACTGTTATTATTATCATCATCATTGTTATTATTGTTATTGCTATTGCTATTATTATTGTTATTATTGTTGTTATTATTATTATAATTATTATTATTATCATTATTATTATTATTATTATTTATTTATTTATTTTTATTTTATTTTTTTTTTTATTATTATTATGATTATGATTATTGCTAAAGCTATTGTTGTTGCTGTTGTTATTATTATCATTATCATTGCTGTTTTTATAGTTTTTATTGTAATTGTTATTTTTATTATTATATTACTGTTATATTTTATTGTTATCTTTATTGTTATTATTATTAATTATTTTTATTATTATTATCATTATTATCATTATTACTGTTATTGTTATTATCTTTATTATTATTATTGTTATTATTATTATTATTATTATTATTATTATTATTATTATTACATTATAATTATTATTATCTTTATTATTATTATTATTATTATTATTATTATTATTATTTTTATTATTGTTGTTATTATTATTATTATTATTATTATTATTATTATTATTATTATTATTATTATTATTATGTTATCATCATTGTCATCATTATCATTGTAATTATTTTTATGATTATTATGATTTTTATTGATTATGATTACAATTATGATACCTCTTGTTATTATTAAAATAATGAAAATAATAATAATAATAATTGTTATCATTATTTGGTTGCTGTTGTTATTAACATTGTTTTTATCATTTCTGACGTTATTGTGATTTATGATTATGATAAGGATGATAATCATAATATTATAGTAGTAGTAATAATGATAGTAATGATCATAATGATAATGATAATTTTTGATAATTAATGATTTATGATAATGATAGTGGAAATGATAATCATGATAATGACAATGATAATAATCATTATTGCTATTATTATTATTATTATTATTATTATTATTATTATTATTATTATTATTATTATTATTATCATTATTATTGTCATCATTATTATTATCATTGTTATCATTATCATTATTAATATCATCATTATTATTATCATCATTATAGTTATTATTATGCTTCTGATGAAAATGATGATAATGATATTATTGTTATTATTTTTACTATTACCATTATTATTATCATTATTATTATTATTATTATTATTATTATTATTATTATTATTGTTACTATTATTGTTAGCATTATTTTGATTGTTATTGTTATTGGTATCTTATCATCATCATATTGAAAAAAATTTACTGAAGAAATATTGTTTTTATATTAGAAGAATAAAACCTATTCATTTTATATAATGTTAGGTGTTAGTGTATAGATGTTGTCATAACCGACTATTCCACGAAGGGCTAGATTAAGTCCATTGCATAGCCTAAGCATGACCTTGTAATGGTACCCCTTTTTAATCACACCCTCTTAGTCCTTTCGGTGGTAGCCTCTCAGCTGTTCAAATGCTGCTCCTAAATGATCATATTATTGATAATGATTATAGTGATAATAATAATCATAATAATAATACGATTGAAAATTATGATAAGGAGGATAATACTAAATGATAATAATAGTAATGATGATGATGATACTACTACTACTACTACTACTACTACTACTACTACTACTACTACTACTACTACTACTACTACTACTACTACTACTACTACTACTACTACTACTACTACTACTACTACTACTACTACTACTACTACTACATCCTATCAGCTGGTGCCCCCTTATGAAGCATCTTCAGTCCTTGTAATATTTTCCCTTTATCCTTTCCAACTGTGGTGGTTCCAGTGGTGTCTACATGGCCCTTTCCTGGATGTAGTTTTCAGTCCTTCTTGCAATCTCCCCCCATCCCTTCCAGTGGTGTCCTTTGGTGTATTTCAAATGGCAAATGGCAAATTCATGGGATGAGTACTATAGATCCTAGTGCTATTTGATTAGGTACGGTAATGTAGAGCAGAGATAGAACAAGTTTGTGGTGCCATTAGTCCATTTTTACCAGCATGGAATTCCTAGAACGTTGATGGTGCGGGTAAGATAAGGTGCCTTATGGTGCCCCCCCCCCCCTCCCCCTGTGGTGCCTGAAGCTTGTACTGATATTCCTGATTGGCTAAATCAATGCAGAGCTCCGGTTTCCAAACTGTCGCACTTTCAGACTGTTTCATGGAGATTAAAATGTGTATCATCTTCACTATTTATTTTACATAGTGGCTGGAAATCATATCTATTATTACAGCTTAACAGATTCCATAGAAAATTAGGTTTACTCTACCATAAATGCAGATTAGCTAATTCAGCAGAAAATGGATGCACTCGAATAAGCTGATTGCCCTAACTTAACCCTGACCAAGCCACACCCATGAAGTATTGCTAATTAGGTTGTCAGTAATATCATCAATAGGATCAAGGGAACTATACAGTTATGTGTGGACATAGCTCTCTTCATCTTCTTCTTTTTCTTCTTCTTCTTCTTCTTCTCCTTCTTCTTCTTCTTCTTCTTCTTCTTCTTCTTCTTCTTCTTCTTTCTTTTTCTTTTCCTTTTCCTTTTCCTTTTTCTTTTTCTTTTTCTTTTTTTTTTTCTTTTTCTTTTTCTTTTTCTTTTTCTTTTTCTTTTTCTTCTTCTTCTTCTTCTTCTTCTTCTTCTTCTTCTTCTTCTTCTTCTTTTTACCACTAATGACTCGTTTGGTTTTGCATTAAATAACAGATTACCAATTCATGTATCTTAATGGGGGGGGGGGGGGGGGCATGCCTTATAAGCCCACAGGACTATTCTCTGTGTATATATAAATTCAGTGATGATATTTTAGGAAACTGTTTTGATATATTCTGAAATACAGTTGACACACATCCAGCTCCATACACACACTAACAGCTACCCACCCCTATATCCACACACTATATCTATACATCACCTCTACACCTGCATCCACTCCCACACAAACTCCCCCCCCCCCTCCCCTCACCAAGCACACATATACAGGTACATCTGCACATGCACATAAGCCCACACACACCTGATAGACTGATAGATAAATAGACTGATACACTGATTGACAGACTGACAGATAGACAGACAGACAAATAGATAGATTCATAGATTCATATACAGATATAGATAGTTATGTGGACACTGGGTAGCGAATTCCACACTACCTCATTTATTTTAGCTAATTATAGGTAATGAGACTAATATCTATGGGAGTGTTGATGGTAGATAACGAAAGAAATTAATTGGGAATACATATAGATTTTTTAATTACAACAGTGGGTAGAATTAATGATAAGGGCGAAAAAAATGCGACATTGATCATTATTTATGTATATAGGGGATGGTCATTATATTAATAATCTACATATCATTCTCCTATGTACTTAGCAGTTGGTTGGTTTTTAATGTAATTCGCCGTTAATGTTTTCCTCAGTACAGTTTTTTTTATATACATACATGCATACATACACACACACATACATACATACATACATACATACATACATACATACATACATACATACATACACATACACACACACACACACACACACACACACACACACACACACACACACACACACACACACACACACACACACACACACACACACTAACTACCAAATCCAAATACTTATGTACACACATACATAAGACATGTACTAACAGCCATTGCACACATTAACATACACATAGATATACACTTAAACAAACCCATTAATAGAGACAGGCAGACATTTTTCAGGACACTTTTTTTTATTTTGGTTATATCGTATGAACATTCAAGGTTTGGTCATTCATAATGCTATATAGTTTGGTCTTTCATATCGTTATTGAAATATGTAGACCTACTAGAGGTGTGGCCTTATTTATTTGTAAAATTATTTTTCTGAATCTATAGGATATCTATAGATTGGCTATGACTAATATTACAAAAGAGGTACCTTATTTATTTATCTAAATGGTGGTTTAGTTAATTTTTTGTATCAGTGCTGAAATATTATTTTGAAAACCAGGAAAAGTAAACATCAATTTGTATATTCACAGTTGCGATACTTTGTTTTTCTGTGTTTTTATGTTAGTTTTTTCTTTTAGGGCAGAAGACACTATATATGTGCCAGCCTGGATTGTGGTATCTTTTGTATATGGCAGACCTGTCTAGATTGATAAATATTGGTAAAGGTTGCTATATGAAAGCATATACATGGAGTCCATTTCCTGGATTTTTAATTTCTGTGTTATTATTAGATTTTTCTTTGTGTTCCTTGTATTGTATCTTAAAGATCTCCAGTATCATTAATGTGTCCTCTCTCTTTTCAGGATTTGTAAAGCCTAAAGATGAGTTCAAAACCTTCATCATGTTTTGGCCGTAGATGAACAGAGTAATGACTCGTAACAAAGTGTTTTGTAGAGTAGGGGAGAAAGAGATGTCAGGATGCCGCTTGGGTGTTTGTTCAAGAGGGAAAAATCAAACAGCATGAGTGACAAAGAAAAGCGGGCCAAGCTGGGCCTGAAGGTCGTGATGGCCCAGCAAAATCCGGAGCCTGTTTATGACCTTAGTGATTGTGCTATGGTTGAACTTCCACCAGATACCTTTGTCATGTGCAAGTTGTTGCAGAAAACT